CAAAAAAAGTCTTAAAAGTTTCAAAAAAAGTTAAAATTATATCAAGTATTTTCTCTGACCACAATGGAGTAAAGCTAGAAATCAATAACAAGAGGAATTTTGGAAACTATACAGCACATAGAAATGAAACAGTATGCTTCTGAATGAACAGTGTGTCAATGAAGAAATTACTAATAAGAAGGAAATTTTTTAAATTCTTGCAACAAATGAAAATAGAAACACAATATACCAAAACTATGGAATGCAATGAAAGCAATACTAAGAGGAAAGTTTATAGCAATAAACGCCTACATTAAAAAAATACAAAAACTTCAAATAAACACCTTAACAATACATCTTAAAGAACTAGAAAACCAAGAGCAAACCAAACCCAAAATTAGTAGAACAAAATAAATAAAAAAGATCCTAACAAAAATTAATGAAATTGAAATTTTAAAAAAATTTCAAAAGATCAATGAAATGAAAAGTTGGTTTTTTGAAAAGATAAACAAAATTGGCAAACCATTAGCCAGACTAAGAAATAAAGGCCCAAATTTTAAAAATCAGAAAAAATGAAAAAGAAGACATTACAACCAATTCCACAGAAATTCAAAAGATCATTAGAGGCTACTATGAGCAAATATATGCCAATAAATTGGAAAACTTAAGATAAATGGATAAAGTTCTAGACACATACAACCTACAAGTTTAAACCATGAAGAAATCCAAAATCTGAATAAACCAATAACAAGTAACGAGATGAAAGATGTAATAAAAAGCCTCCAAGCAAAGAAAAGCCCAGGACCCAATAGCTTCATGCCGTTTTACCAAACACTTAAAGGACTAATACCATTCCTACTCAAACTATTCTGAAAAATAGAGAAGGAGGAAATACTTCCAAATACATTTTACAGAGCCATTATTATCTGATACCAAAACCAGATGAAGATACTTAAAAAAAAAAAAAAAAAAAAAAAACTACAAGCCAATCTCCCTGATGAACACTGATGCAAAAATCCTCAACAAAATGCTAGCAAACTGAATTCAATCACACATTTAAAAGATCATTCATCATGACTATCATCATGACCAAGTGACATTTATCCCAAGGATGCAAGGATGTTTCAACAAATGCAAATCAACTAATGTGATACATCATATCAACAGAATGAAGGACACAAACCATATGATCATTTTAATTGAGGCTAAAATTTAATATTGTTTCATGTAAAAGCCCCCAAAAAACTGGGTATAGTAGGAACATACATCAACACAATAAAAGCCACATATGACAGACCCACAGCTGGTGTAATGTAGAACAGGAAAAACTGAAAGCCTTTCCTTTAAGATCTGGAATAAGACAAGAATGCCCACTTTCACCACTGTTATTCAATGTAGTGTTGGAAGTCTTACCTAGAGCAATCAGAGAAGAAAATAAAGGGCATCCAAATTGGAAAGGAGGAAGTAAAATTATCCTTGATTCCAGCTGATATAATTTTATATTTGGAAAAGCGTAAAAACTCCACCAAAAAAAAATATTAGAACTGATAAACAAATTCAGTAAAATTGCAGGATACAAAATCAACATGCAAAAATCAGTAGTATTTCTATAGGCCAACAGTGAACAATCTGAAAAAAAAAATCAAGAAAGTAACCTCATTTACAATACATACAAAGAAAATAAAATACTTAGGAATAAACTTAACCCAAAAAGTGAAAAATCTCTATAATGAAAACTGTAAAAGACTGATGTAAGAAACTGAAGAGGACACAAAAAATGGAAAGACATTCCATGTTCATAGATTGGAAGAATCGCTATTGTTAAAATGCTCATACTACCCAAAGCAATGTACAGATTCAATACATTGGTATCAAAATACTAATGACATGCTTTGCAGAAATAGAAAACACAATACTAAAATTTTTGTGGAACCAAAAAGACCCAGAATAGCCAAAGACATCCTGAGCAAAACAAAAACAAAAAAACTGAAGGAATCACATTACTTGACTTCAAATTATACTATAGAGCTATAGTAACCAAAACAGCATGGGACTGGCCTAAAAACAGGCACATAGACCAATGGAGCAGAATGAAGAACCTAGAAATAAATCCATAAATCTACAGTGAACTCACTTTTGACAAAGATGCCAAGAACATACATTGGGGAAAGGACAGTCTCTTCAATAAATGGTGCTGGGAAAACTGGATATCCATAAGCAGAAGAATGAAACTAGACCCCATCTCTCACCACATACAAAAATTAAATCAAACTGAATTAAAGACTTAAATATAAGACCTCAAACTATGAAACTACTATAAGAAAACATTTGAGAAATGTTGCGGGAAGTCAGGGACCCCCAACGGAGGGACCAGCTGAAGCCACGGCAGAAGAACTTAAATTGTGAAGATTTTATGGACATTTATTAGTTCCCCAAATTAATACTTTTATAATTTCTTACGCCTGTCTTTACCGCAATTTCTGAACATAAATTGTGAAGATTTCATGGACATTTATCACTTCCCCAGTCAATACCCTTGTGATTTCCCATGCCTGTCTTTAATCTCCTAATCCCGTCATTTTCTTCATAAACTGAGGAGGATATATGTCGCCTCAGAACCCTGTGATGATTGTGTTAACTGCACAAATTGTTTGTAGAGCGTGTGTGTTTGAACAGTATGAAATCTGGGCACCTTGAAAAAAGAACAGGATAACAGCAATCTTCAGGGAACAAGGGAGATAAGACTTGGAGCCTGACTGCACAGGTGAGCCAGGTGGAAGAGAGCCATATTTCTCTTCTTTCAAATGCAAATAGGAGAAATATCGCTGAATTATTTTTCTCTGCAAGGAACATCCCTGAGAAAGAGAATGCGCCCTGAGGGTAGGTCTATGAACGGACCCCTTAAGGCGGCTGCCTTTTATGGTCGAAGCTGAAGGGATGAACTAAGCCCCGGTCTCCTGTAGTGCTCCCAGGCTTATTAGGAGGAGGAAATTCCCACCTAATAAATTTTGATCAGACAGGTTGTCTGCTCTCAAACCCTGTCTTCTGATAAGATGTTATCAATGACAATGCGTGCCCGAAACTTCATTAGCAATTTTAATTTCGCTCCATCCTGTGGTCCTGTGATCTCACCCTGCCTCCACTTGCTTTGTGATATTTTATTACCTTGTGAAGTATGTGATCTCTGTGACTCACACCCTATTCGTGCACTCCCTCCCCTTTTGAAAATCGCTAATAAAAACTTGCTGGTTTTATGGCTTGGGGAACATCACGGAACCTGCCAACGTGTGATGTCTCCCCTGAACACCTAGCTTTAAAATTTTTCTCTCTTGTACTCTTTCCCTTTATTTCTCAAACCAGCCGAGACACCTAGGAAATAGAAAAGAACCCACGTTAACTATTGGGAGCGGGTTCTCCCAATAGGGAAACTCTCCAGGATACTGGTCTGGGCAAAGATTTTTTCAGTAATACCCTACAAGCAGAGGCAACCAAAGAAAAAAATCAACAAATGGGATTATGACATTAAAAAGCTTCTGCACAGCAAAGGAAACAATCAACAAAATGAAGAGACAACCCACAGAATGGAAGAAAACTACCCATATGACAAGGGATTAATAACCAGAATATATAAGGAGCTCTAACAACTCAATAGGAAAAAAATCTAATAATCCTATTTTTTAAATGGACAAAAGATGTGAATAGACATTTCTCAAAAGACATACAAAATAGCAACCAGTATATGAAAAGGTGCTCAACATCACTGATCATCCAGAGAAATGCAAATCAAAACTACAATGATATATCATATCACCATAGCACTCCACAGATACAGACACATAGATTTAGATAGATACAATTATTTTCTGTATCCCCCTACTAGAAAGTAAACTCTATGAAGGTTAATGATTCTGTTTTGGGCTACACTGTGTACGTATTCTCAGCTCCTAGAACAGTGTTTAGCACACAGTCAGCACTCAACAAATATTTGTTATATGAACGCTTACACAAAATGTCTTTGATTACTATGTTTCCCCAATCTTAGATAGCCTCTCTACACTGCCACCTACAAAAATTCTACTCATTCTTTAAAGCCCACTCACATATCTTTTTCTGCAAAATTTCCTAATTCCCCCAAGTGGAACTCATTGCCCTCTCAAAGTCATGTGTTTATAATTTTATTTACTTATAATTTGTTATATTTATTTTTATAATATTTATTTTTTATAATAAAATCAGAATCATTTTAATTATTACATTGGTTTTTGCTTTTACCTCTAGATTGTACACTCCTTAAAGGCAAGGTCTATGTCCCATCTTTTCATCATATACCATGCCACCTTCCTCACCCCTTACCCACTACCTGATAGGACCACATCACCACCACAGGAATATATTATAAGGGATAGGCACTCAATATTTGTTGAACTATTTGAAGGGAAGGACACTCCCAAACAAAAAAATAAAAGCAGATACTAGGTTACGTGAAGTGGTATACTATTTTTTAAGTAAATGTAAAACTGCAGTGCTTCAGAGGAAAGGTTAGAGGTGATATGAGTAAATTATTTCCATAAGATTCTATTAATATGACTGTAGTTGAATTTATTAGCTAACAAAATATTAGTAAAGTGTTCATTTTAAGGAAAATTGAAGAAGCTGAAACCATTCTGGCAAAACAACAACACAACAACAACAAAAAAGTATCTTTAAGAAACTCAATGTGATTGGTCAGGTGACACCTTTTAGTTCCAATGTGGTTCTTTATGACGTCACTGAACTTACCCCTGAGTCACTATGACTGATAATGTTACAATGATCATCAGTGTATCCTTTGCTGGGCATATTTTGCTGACTGGCAAGGTTATATGAAGTGCTTTTATTGAAGCACCATTTTAGCTAATAGCTCATGGTATTTTCTGCTTCCCTTCATAGGGAATTTAGCTATTTTATTTTATTATTTAGCTAACTTAGCTATTTTAAAATAGCTAAATTTTAGCTACTTTTTTTTCAGTTGACAAAGAAGGATGTCTAATCAAGGACTACCACTGATTTTTTCTCTGTTGCTTATCTGCTTCTTTGGGGAGAGTTTCTGCATTTGTGATGGAACTATCTGGACAAAGGTTGGATGGGAGATTCTTCCAGAAGAAGTACATTATTGGAAATTTAAGGGTTCTCCATCTCACCGTCTGCCTTATCTTCTGGATAAACTATGCTGCGACTTTGCTAACATGGATATATTTCAGGGTTGTTTATATCTCATTTATAATTTATTGCAAGCTCTCTTTTTCATCTTATTTGTTTTGTCTGTGCATTACCTGTGGATGAAATGGAAGAAACACCAAAAAAAGGTGAATTCATGATACAAGTAGTAATAGTTACAAAATCTCTAAGGGTTTAGAACATAATATTACTAGTTTCTTTGAGAGAGGGTACCATGTTTTATTCCTCATTGTAACCTTCCCCCAACTTCCCATTCATCCTCAGCGTCTAGCACAGTGTCTTGCTCATACTAGGTATTGAACAAATGTGTATTGAATTAGAAGGTCCTTAGAATCATCTAGTCCCCTCTACTTCAAGTTACAAAACACACCAAAAAAAGTAGTGTGCTACCATTTGGAGAATGTATGGAAAATCAAGTTATCTGTCTGGGTCCTTAGGTAAGTCATTTGCTCTTTCTCAGTTGCCTCATCCATAAAAGGATCTGTAACAAGAGATCTCTTAGAACTTCTCCAGATGCATCTAAGAAATCTAAGTACAAAAGTTGTCATGTAATTTTTATATGGGCTATAAACTAATTGCTAATATGAAAACAACTTTCTGGGAAAAGGAGTTTTTAAACTATTACATAATTTCCCACTTTGCCAATAGATGACACCATAGTTTCAGAGGCAACCTTAAAAGCTCTTTGATCAAAAAACAAAACCTCATTGACCTTCAGAAGAATTAGATATTTATAAATGTTTTCTTATTTTTAAAATGACTGTTACTTTATGGTATTATATCTTGAGGTTCTTTAGTAAAGGAATACATTTTGCTAATCAAATAATTTCTCACAAGAGAGTACCCTAAACATAGGACACACTAATTATTTGCTGATGGTGATAAGGATCATATATGTGGCATATAGATAACATTTCCTCTGCATTTATACCTTTCTTCTATAGTAACCTTCCTTTTGTATAAATAATTGATGTGTGCTGTTTTAACAAAGTTTCTTTACACATTTAGAACACAAATTGAATTTGAACTATATTATTAACTCTACTATAGTATTGAACTCTACTATTTTATGTAGATAAAATCTATATTGTTTTTCCCCTTTTAGCTGAAAAACCAAGCCTCATTAGAAAAACCTGGTAATGATCTAGAAAGCCCATTCATCTACAACATTGACAAAACACTCTACAGAGTGGCAACCACAGCATCAGCGATATACAAGATCTGGGATCACAGGTCTTATCATCCTTCCTCTAAGAAAATTAAGCACTGCAAATTAAAGAAGAAGAGTAAAGAAGAAGGAGCCAGAAGACACTAAATATATGCATATGCAAATGTAGCTTAGTCAAATATAGAGATCACAAAAGAAATCTATCACCTAAGGATAAAAATGGTTCTTTGGAAACCTTTATAAACCTTTATAAATTTTTTGCCACAATCTTTACTAAAATTTTCCAAAGAAGCCTGGGTTGAAATGTTACTTCCATTCAATTAAAAAAGAACCTGGACTTACTAAAGTACTAGAGAATAAATTGTATACTGTAGAAAATGAAATAGAGGTTCCTCTTCAAAGGGACTTTCCTCCAAGTATAACTCAGAATAGAAAGTAACCTCTCTTAGAAGCAAAATTTACTCAAAGACCCGAGCTAATATTGTTAAATTCTGCTAATTGTAATAAAGAAATCAATATACTCTGTTCTTAGCTCCCACATTTTAGCCTAGATATTTGCCCTGGCTTGCCTAAACAGGTCCAAGCAAGCATTAGGTCATAGCCTGTTCCTCTTTCCTTATTTGGAAGTGTTTTTGCCTCTCTCAGCATTCCGCAAGTTACTTCCTCTCTTCCTTTGTTCTCCTCTGCTTTTGCCTCTTTTGAGAAGTTCTAAGTTGCTAGCCAATCAGGTTGAGTACAGAATGTGAGGTCCCATTCCAGCCAATGGAAACTGGACACAGCAGTAGAGTGGACACATCAGGTTATAAATGACTCTGTCTCTTTTGTTCGTGTGTGGCAAGACTGCTAGCAAGCAGCACCCTTTCTGCAGAAAGTAAACTAGCCTTGCTGAGAGATCCTTTGTCTCAGTGTTGATTTTTGTGACACTGAGCACCTGTTCCCAACAATTTGGTGGCCCATAGGGGATTAACATTCCCCTCTGGGACAGTCTTTGGTCCTCTCTCATGGGGAGGCGCCCTGCCGCCCATTGCAGCAGCCCCAGGAGGAGAGCCAGGACCTACCTGGTACAAAGAATATAGTTGGATTCTCAGCAACGCGGGGAAAGAGAGAGGCTTGTGGGACTGCAGTGACCAGGTGACTCCATGCACAGGCCAAGGTAGGAAAAGCTGCAAGAGGGTGGCAAAGTACTTCCTTGGTGGTCAGCTTTTGGAAGCTGAGTGTGTGTGTGTGAACGATTACCAGTCTGTTGCTGGACAGAGTGTGTGGACACAAACAGGAAGGGTGTAAGGAACCTCCAAAAGGGAAAAGGAGGAAGGTTAACCTCCCAGGGAAAGAGAATCGGCAAGACATCTCTGGTATGAGAGATTGAGCCTTTTGGAAGCCTTTAAGGATGGGACAGCCAAGATATCCCCAGTCTGAAGGATCTGGAGGATTGAGCCTTCCCGGGAAAAGAATAGGCGAGACATCCCTAGCACAAAAAATTGGGCCTATCTAGGATTCAATATGGGAAAAGGCCCTTGGCAAGCCTCCAAAGGAAGGGAGGGCAAGAAGCCTCTAGTAGGAGAGGTTGAGCCAAGCCCCTCTCCCCCACTGCCGCTGCCACCGCACCCAGGAGTGCTAGAAACCTCCAGCAAGGAGCAAGGGGGGTTGAAAGCTCCAGGGAAGGGGCCTATTCTAGTCAGGCACCACCCAAAAACTTGAAGATAGGAAATGTTTCGAGTAAGAGAAGATAAAGAGCTGCGGCTACAGCAGTATTAGTTGAAGAAAGTAAAAAATTAACCTTTGTGGGGAAATAAACTGCAAGCATACCCCACCAAGTTAGAGCTATTTTAAATCAAAAGCAGGAAGGTGGCTTACTGACTCCAGAATCTTGAAATATAAGGCTATTTTAGTAGAAAAAGACGATTTAACCTTGACTACTGATAATTCGCTCAACCCAGCAGGTTTCTTGGCAGGAGAAATTTTAAAAAATTTAAAGAAATTTAAAAAACAGTTGTGTCTAGATTTCACTACCAAACAAAAGTCAGGCCAGATCTAGGAGAGGCCCCTTTTAAAACAGGGTGGCACTGGTTTATAGATGGTTCCTCCAAAACAGTCAAAGTAGAAAAACATAATTGGTATTCAGTAATTGATGGAGAAACACTTGAAGAAGTAGAGTCAGGAAGACTGCCCAATAATTAGTCTGCCCAAACCTGTGACCTGTTTGCACTCAATCAAGCTTTGAAATATTTGCAGAACAAAGAAGGAACTGTTTATACTGATTCTAAGTATGCCTTTGGAGTGGTACATACAGTTAGAAAAATTTGGGCTGAGCAAGGTCTTATTAACAGTAAAGGCCAAGATCTAGTCCAAAAAGAACTAATTGTTCGTGTCCTAGACGATCTCCAGTTGCCAGAAGAGATAGCTACTGTACATGTCCCAGGGCATAAAGGACTTTTCACGGCCGGGCGCGGTGGCTCAAGCCTGTAATCCCAGCACTTTGGGAGACGGGCGGATCACGAGGTCAGGAGATCGAGACCATCCTGGCTAACACGGTGAAACTCCGTCTCTACTAAAAAAAATACAAAAAACTAGCCGGGCGCGGTGGCGGGCGCCTGTAGTCCCAACTACTCGGGAGGCTGAGGCAGGAGAATGGCGTGAACCCGGGAGGCGGAGCTTGCAGTGAGCTGAGATCTGGCCACTGCACTCCAGCCTGGGCGGCAGAGCGAGACTCCGTCTCAAAAAAAAAAAAAAAAAAAAAAAAAAAAAAAAAAAAAAAAAGGACTTTTGTTTCACAAGTCAGGGAAATAACCAAATGACCTTGCAGGTCAGATAACCAAACAAGCTGTTTCTTCTAAAATGCCTTTCACTTAATTCCTTGCCTTCCTTCCCCTACTGCAGTCCCCATCTTCCCTTCCACTAAAAAAGGAAAAGTTAATAAAAATAGAAGCTAAAGAGAACACAGAAGGAAAATGGATATTACCAGATCAAAGGAAGATGTTACCCAAACCTCTCATAAGGGAGGTCTTAACCACAGTTCTCAGACTTCATAGGTGTATAGGAATTTATACCCTAGCCAAGCAAGTTACAAATAGTTGTTTAATATGTAAGAAAATCAACAAACAAATCATAAAGAAATCACCTCCAAGGGGGAGGGATCCCGGACTAAGGCCATTCCAAAGCGTTCAAATGAACTGCACTGAAATGACCCCAATCAGTTGCCTAAAGTATTTGTTGGTAAGAGTAGATCATCTCACTCACTAGACTGAAGCTACCTCCTTTTCAAATACAACAGCTAATTATGTAGTTAAAGCATTAATTGAGAATATAGCATCCAAATGTAGGCTAATAGAGAATATGGACTTGGACAATGGAACCCATCTCACAGCCCATGTCATTAAGAAGCTATCCCAGGTTTTAAACATTAGATGGGAGTATCATATCCTGTGGCATCCATCTTCATCATGGAAGGTAGAAAGGATGAATCAGACCTTAAAGAACCACTTAACCAAATTAGTTCTAGAAACTCGTTTACTGTGGACCAAATGTCTTCCCATTGCCTTACTGAGGATCAGGACAGCTCCCTGAAAGGATACAGGCCTGTCTCCATATGAAATGTTATATGGATTGCCTTATTTACATTCCTCAGCTGATGTTCCTACGTTTAAAACTAAGGATCAGTTCCTCAGAAATTATATACTTGGTCTCTCCTCTACCTTTTCTTCTCTTAAGGTCAAAGGTCTCTTAGCACCAGCCACCACTAGAATTTCCAGAACACCAGCACCAACCCGGGGACCACCTTCTCATCAAAGGGTGGAAGGAAGGAAAACTCGAGCCCAGCTGGGAAGGCCCCTATCTGGTGCTGTTAATCACCGAGACTGCCGTCCACACAGCTGAGAAAGGATGGACCCACCATACTCGAGTCAAGAAAGCATCTTCCTCGTCAGAATCATGGGTTGCTGTACCAAGATTGAGCCCTACCAAGCTAAAGTTAAAGAAAGCTTAATTTTCATGTACCTCCTATATTGCTTCCTTTCCTCTCCTTATTCTGTTATTAGGTCCTTTGTTATTAATATAACTAAGTCTGACCCACCTCAGACCATTGCCTTTAATGCTTGCTCTGTCATACCTTGTGGAGATGTGAAGGATTAATGACAGCTAGCCTTTTCACACAAATATTTATGCCCCAGCCCTCTGACTGACACAGTTACTCCTAGCACTCATAGTTGTGATTGCCTGCAGCTGAGACACCAATTCTCTGCTCCTACAGCCTGGTAACCTTGTAGTAGCTGGAACTATGTCCTTTGAACTACTCAGGAGCAAGGTTAGACTTCCACGGAGGAGGTTTGTGCAAATCTAAAACCCCTCATCTATTTCACTAAAGGGACTACCCCTTCTAACTGTCAGCCTTATCAGTGTAACCCTGTCCTCTCTCTCACCACCTCCACTTTAACTGACTCTAAACTTGCCCTTGCTCACTTCTATGGTATGGGGATTGATGTAAATGGGAAAGACCCCCTAGGCATTTTTAAGATACGCATTATTCCCCCGTCTTCCCCTTCTTCAGTATCCTCATTTTTAAATCCCACACCAGTTACTCCGACACCTAATGATAAAACTAGAGTGTCTATTGTGAAAGTGAAATATCTAAGACAGACCTTAGCTATTGAGACAGGATATCAAGATGCAAATACCTGGCTGAAATGGATTAAATATTCCATTTGCACTTTAAATAAAAGCGATTGTTACACTTGTACACATGGTAGACCAGAGGCCCAGACTGTCCCTTTCCACTCAGATGGTCTCCTTGTTGACCAGGCATGGACTGTATGGTGGCTGTCTTCCAGAATCCCACTGCTTGGGATAATCCATCATGCCAAGCTCTCTCTGCTGTTTCCTGAAGTTCGACACCCTGAGGGTCAGGCCTGGAGGGCAATCCAGCTTCCACCTCTAAATGCCACGTTTACTTCATGCCTTGCACAGCAGGGGGAGAATTTGGTGTTCCTTGGAAGCATAAAAAGATGCAAGGAACTCAAGCCTATCCAGAAGCTTGCCCATCAGTCCCCGAGCAGATGGATGGTGGTACTGTGGAGGACCTTTACTGGATACTCTGCCTTATAATTGGAGCAGTACTTGTGCTCTAATCCAGTTGACTATCCCCTTCACCCTGGCGTTTCATCAATCTGAGAAAGTAAAAACAAGACACTGCAGGCCAAGGGAAACTCCATATGAGTCCTTTGATCCTCAGGTTTACATAGATGTTATTGG